GTATGCAGTGTTATCACCTGAGATGAGAGGGGCACGTGCTCAGACATCTCCTGTGCTCATGGGAGTGTCTGGTTTGGCTAATCTATGCATACACATCCTCCAGGACAACCCCAGTGACAAGATCATTCAAGCTTCAGAAGAGAGCTCAGTGTCACCAGAAACATCAAAGAAAGTCATTTAAAGAAATAGTATCTGGGCTGGGAATCAGATGGTCCTTTGAAAAATTCTCCATCTCTTTGGTTCCTTCACACAAGCCATCTCCTGGATTTTTATCTTCAATTGATAAATGAATGACTTTGTTCTTTTCAAAAAGATGCTGAAGGAATGAGAAGTGTGCAGCACCTAATTTTTTTTTTTTTTTTTGGCAGTGAGCTCTTTAACTTTAGGAAGTGATGTCTTTTCTAGCTAATGAGAAAGTTTTATCTGAGAACTTGATAGGTTTTTAAAATATTGTTCATTGAAAACAGCCTGGGATTTCTTTTTTCCTAATTCAAGGCCAGGTAGGTAGACCTTTCCTGTGTTTATTGTCCTCAAATAGTGGGCATGGTTTCTGACAATGGTCATATGTTGAGTGGAGACTCATTTTCACAGCTTTTATTGTGAATTTTAGTGTGTGTTCCATGGGGATTCCTGGAAAGGGAAGAGAAATACTTGAGTGTGAATGACTCCCTATTGTATCCCCAGCGTGTTTTGCTATGTCTGTGGTTTCTTCAACTTCCTTAGCTTTAACTAGATGAACAGGGAATGAATGTGGCATTGAATGGACTCGAGAAAGCCAGATTGGTGCAGAAGAGAGACCACATGCCATTAGATCACTGAGAACCGTGGGCAGGGATGGAGCCCACAGGAAACCATGGTCTCTCCAGAGCTGAGAAAGCATGGAAAGATGAGACGTGTGTTAGTGTCTGAGAGCTTTGAAGAGATTTTACCACACTGATCTTAGGTAGAGGCCATTAAGAAAATAAACAGAGCTCATCGTCTATCAGTATTTCAATGATTATAATTTCACATTTGGAATATTAGGGTAATCTTATGGGAAATCAGACTAATCCCAAGTGAAAATAATAGTGTTTCAATTTACAGTTTGGAGGAAGACTTTGGAAACGCAGTATAAGGAAATCTGGGATAAGACCCAAAAACAAAACAAAACAAAACAAGCAACATGACAAAGAAACAAAAGAGAAGAATCTGAACTAATCCTCAAGTTCTGACTGTTCTTGTATTCAGTCATGAAAGGAGCTTTCTAAGATCAGAAACAGACATCCCAGGAGACAGGAAAACCAATGACATGGGCATCCTGAAGCTCAGTGTCAGCCGAGCTGTGCGTCTGCAAAAGCCTTGCCTCCTGTTGAGAACCAGCCCTGCCACATGATCAAATGTGAGCTTGAGGTTCTATGCTTTCTAATTCTAGAGTGTGCCTTGCCCTATAGGCAACTTTGGTAGAGAATTTTCTTGTATTCTGGAAACATCCACCGCATGTCCGCTAGTTGTTCTTCCCTTCTCTTCCCTTTCCTGAGACAGGATCAGGGTTACCCGACAGAGAACTTAAGCCGTTTCTTACACAGAGAGATGGAAAGTAGTTTGAACCACGTTGCCATCTGTGTTAGCTTCCTGTGTTCGCTGTGCCAAATCATACATCACGGGGTTTAAATGAACAGATGTTTATTGTCTTACAGTTCTGGAGGCCAGAGTCCAGAATTAAAGAATCTTCAGGACTGTCTTTCACTGGGCTTGCAGGGGAAAACTCTTTCTGGATTTCTTCCTTCAACCAGTGACTCCACATGTCTGTTGGCTTGTGGCTGAGTCACTCCTGTTTCTACCCCTTCCTCTCACTGCATGCCTTTCTTCTCGTCTGTTATAAGGACACTTGCCATTAGATGTAGGGATCTCTTGATAATCCAGAATGAATGCATCTTAACATTTTAAATTTAACTACCTATGCACGACATTGTTTTTCCCTCACTGAAGTCACATTCATCATTCCAGGGAACAAGATTTGGTTCTATTATACTGGAGGCCACCAGGCAACCCTGTATCTTCCATCATACCTTAATTGCTCTTTTAATAATGGTCATTAAACTTCAAGAATTATGAATTATCCTTTGAATAATCTGATAAAATAAAAGATATTTTGTAGATTATATACATGTTATATTTTTATTCAAAATTTAAGTGAACTCAAAATCTACTATCACCACCAAAGCCCACACATATACTGTAAATTGAAACACTTAGTCATCCTTGAATGATAATATCCAAAAGTAACCACAGTTTTTCTTTGTGATCAAGCTAAGGTAGAAGACCTCAGGGTGTTGCTTTTTTATTTTAATGTATACAATTCTGTTCATTTATTTTAAGATAATTTTAAGTATTTTAGGTCTCTCTGAAGTCTATATATATGATGATCACATTGTATATGACAGAACATTAAACTGATATTATTCTTCAACTTGAACTGTACCAAATCTGCTTTTTTCTATGTTTTTTATGTCACTCCTAGAGGGAAGAGCTGACATTTCTCCCTGCTCTATCACATCTTGTTAAACTCAGCTCATCTCTTTAGACAGCCAAGACCTTCTTGGGTCCTGATTCTCCCATCAGTGTATTGAGTGTTTCTTCCAGCTTTGTGTTAACAGAGAGTTCAATTTCTATTGATGACTATTATTTTCATGTCTCCAAGTCATTAATGGAAATGATGAGTAGGAAAGGGCAGACAACAGATCCTCACAGCTGACAATCGGCACTTCCTTCCTGGTTGATTTTAATAGTTTAATTAGGTGCTGTTCAGACAAGTAATTTTAGTAGCATCCTGCTAATATTTTCCTCCATATTTTCTTCAAAATTGCTATGGCAGACCTGTCAGCTGCCTTGCAGGCATTTAAGTAAAAATCATGTGCCTCATAATTCCCTCTTCTCTCTGCCTAGTAGTCTTTTCATAGGAAAGAATGGGCTGAGTCTGACACGAAATACTTCATGATCCATGAAATAATGACACTGTTGGTAGTAAGCAGAAGTGTTTGGTTTGACATCACTTGTATCCTGCTGCTTAAAGCAGTTTATTTAGGGAAGAGTTACCAGGCAAACTGGCATTGCATGTGGGAGGATTTTGATGAATTAGATGGAGGAGGAAGAAAATGTTTAAGGTCTCCTCCTACTCTTTTGTGTTTTCCTGATGATCTTATCAATTTAATTCTCCTCTCTTCAAGTAACAATTCATGGGAAGTAGCTATTTTGTTAAAGGTTTAAAACAAGCTGACTTATATGACCTTTGGATGAGTTCAGAATTAAACATTGGAAATTCCTTGGTGGGTGACCTACTCTCAATGTCTGAGTTTTGGAAACTGCTAGATTTAATAAGTTGAAAGAAAACATAGGTTCACTCTGCTCTACACAATATCAGCAACCCATGTAGCATGTTCTAGGCATGGGGCTGCTGCTCCCATTGCTGAGGTGAGAGTCATGTGGAGACAATTCAGTTCCACAACCTGGTTGATCTTGTTTGAGATAAGGCTCTACGAATTCCATTTACCTTTTACCTGGTAGCACATTCAGTTATTTCCTGAGATGTATCTCAAGCCATAAGACATAGGAAAACAATCCTATTTTCATCTTCATCTTTCAGATAGGAGAAGGAAGTGTCCCATGAGAAGAGTTACTTGACTGATCTGAGCACAGCAGAGTCCTGGCTGGGAGTTGTTAGAGTTTTCTGGCACAATAGAGAAGCAAAGTATGAAATGAACAGGTTTATTGAGTTGAGGATGTGGAAAGGAGCACACAAGCCATCATGGTTGGGCTGTCTCCTTCGACCAGATACAGAGAGGCAGAGACTTACATGATCTCTGATTGAAGTGGCAGATGGGGTGGATATTGATGACGTGTGCAGAACAGATTGGAATTCTCTGTACATGCAAACAGGAATGAGAGTTGCAATTAGGGCTGAAGAAGAAGCAGGAAATGGTAAGTGATCCCACTTTGGCCTTCCACCACGTTAGACCACTGCCATAACTGTACAGTAATTTATACTAGAGCAAGAATCTTTCAGCAGTGTGAATTTTAGTTAAGTCTTGTGAAACACAAGCCATCCCGTTCATTGAAAGACTCCATTATTAGAAACTTCTGGCATGACTGCCCTCCCCTTTACACTGCTGTGCTAGGTGCCCTGCTTTGTAATTGCAAGACATGCAACCCAAGTGGAGTATGGATGATCAGTGTATTTTTTCTGTTTTTCTAGCAATGATTGATCATATTTATAGGGCTATCAACTACTGGGCTTTGAAAAGGTCAGTATTGATTATCTGTGTCACACAGATGCTTTGCTTCTTTACTGTACATAAATATGAGTTCCTTTATGAAACTGGTATGATTTTTCAGGGAAGGTGAAGGGAGATTGGGCATTAATGTGAGTTAGGCAGGTGGAATATCTACTAAAACACACTTAAATGATGCAGTTACAGGGTTTTGGCATTGGAGGTGTCATACTTTGGATAATCCACTCCTAATTTCCCAGCACACACACATACACATACACACACACACACACACACACACACACACACATACACACACACACCACTCTGCAAATGAGAAAGCTGGGTTTTCATCAGTAGACATGGGTAGACAGAACCCCAGTGGTTATAGTGAGGCCAAGTAGAAAGGCTGTATATCACAATGTGAACAATGGTTTCACCTGGGTATTGGCTTATGCACTTTTGGGTGAATTTTTTACTTCTCTATACTGTTTATATTTCAAATGCTTCCTATAAAGTACACATTGTTGCTTTTTCATTAAACAATAAACCCACAGTGAAGCCCACTGTGAATGACAGCCAGCTGGCTAGGGTTGTGAGGACAATGAGTTCACCTCAGTGACCTTCAAGGAACTTTCTGGAAGAACAGAAGGAGTCAGGCTGCAGTGGAGTCCTCACCTCCTCCCCAGCCTTGGTGTACTACTTGACTGACCATGGACTCTCTCTGCTTCTCTCTCCCCTTCTCTCCTAAAGAGTTTTTGGCCACTTTAGCCTCCGCTCCGAATGGCAGTTGGTGAAAGTGGACTACAAATCAATCTTTAGCCGGCGCTGCACCAAGGAGGATTATCAGACATGGCACCTGCTCAATCAGGTACAGCCAGCATGGAGCATGCTGGCCTTTAGGGAAGCAGCTGCTGCAAGCTGGGTTTAACCTCAGGAGGGCCTTGCCATGTCTGGGAGAAACATAATGGGCCATCTGGGGCTGGAGGTGTGGACTTCAGGAGAAGGGTTAGATATTACCAGCACCAGCAACACCTTAGAATCTTAGGTACTCACTGAGGTCAGTGAGTAGCCTGGGGGAGAGATGGTGATGGTGACCTGGGGTTTTACCTTCATCTGTGGAGAAGCTAGGACACCCTCCAATGACTTACTCATCTGTCTGCCAATGTGGAGGGTGAGGGCATGTCACACACCAGCCGGAAGCAAGAGGGAAGAGAACTGCAGAGAAAGGGTTCAGAGTCACTGTGCCAGATAGGGGCAGGTACTCATTGCTCTGCTGTGTAGGCAGACGTGTGCGTTCTTCCGAACTCTTGGATCCTAGCTGTATGTACAAACATTCTCCTCCTCTTCTGGTCTGTGACTAAGAATTGGGGGTTGGGTGTGGACATTCATCATACAGAAGGAACTTCGTGGGTGCACTTTAGTTTTACTGTGGAAATGATGTGGAGAGAATATGTCAAAATTGGGCTTCTTTTCACTAAACTTGCTGCTGAAGCAACTCAGGCAGTGTGCCTTGGTCTGTATGGATCCCTGGCACTTGAGAGGTGGGAAAGAAGCAAGGGAAAGTAGACATTATGGGGTAACAAGGATGGAGACACAGCAGTGGGCCAGGCTCCGGTAGTGCTCCTCACATGCTGCAGCAAAGATTAACACTTTCTCTTGGAATTTCTGGATGGTTGGTGGGAACAAAGTTGCTGCTTGGAGTGACTCACAGAATGAAAAGACTAATGATTCTTGTTGAGAAGCTGTATTGCCTCCTGTCTGCTCTTCTGCTCTCTCACTGTGGACTTCTTCTTTAAGGGAGAACCTTGTGTTATGGGAGAAAGGAAAATATTCCAGAAGCGCAAGCCAGGAGCTCAGTGTGCCCTAGGCCGGGACTACTCGGGGTCAGTGATCTCAGAACCCTGTGTCTGTGCGGACTGGGACTTCGAATGGTGAGTCTTTTGGTGCTTAATCTCCAACTGTAAGCCCACGTTCACTTGTTTGTGTGTATGGAGAAGGTGCATAGATGGAGTTAGTGGAGGGAGGCCCAGCCCAGAGGTGGGGAGTATGTCTGCTGGCTTGGTCAGTGGGACAGGTGAGAAGTCCACACTACCGAGGAAGGACAGGCTGAGGCTCTTTGCCAGGAGGAAGTGCTCCTCTGTCTTAGCTGCATTTCCCAGAGGCCTTTTCCTCATCTTCCATGAACAGCTGAGTTGGACTGTTCCAAGGAGTTGGGCCGGCACTGATGGAGCTCAGAGACTTACTGTCTTGGAAGCCCCCTCCACATACATTCATTCAAACTCTGCTCCCATGAGAACCACCGGGCATCCTTTCCTTTTCTTTTTGTATTTTATTTTTAACTGACATAGAATATTTGTACATGTACTTAATATCTTAGTGATTTGATTCCCTTCCCCTCTCCCCTCCCCTCTCCCTCCACCTCTAGATCAACTTATTTGCAAAAGATCTGTCTTCCTATTTTCTATTGTCTATCACTTATTTTTTAAAATTATTTATATTTTGGGTTTCCCATATTAGAGCAGTCATACAATATTTAAACTTGTATGCCTGATTTATTTCACTTAATATTGTAGTCCCACACTGCACCCATTTTCCAACAAATGACTGAAATTTATCCTTCTGTATGGCAGAGTAGTACTCCATTGTGTATTAATAACACATTTTTTACCCATTCATTTGTTGGGTATGTAGGCCATTTCCAAGATTTAGTGATTATTGTGCTGCTGCAAACACAAGTGTGGATGCATCACAGTGATTTGTTGTCCGTGTTTCTCTGAGCCATGGTAGACCCTCATCCATTGTTGAGAGGCCACGCAAATAAGGAACAAGGGCTGTAACAGATGTGTGTTTCCTCCAGCAATGCTGTTCACATTTCCTGGTCTGGATAAACACCTCGGGCTAATATTCAAACGCTGATCTTGGGAATTTATTCTTTATCTCTGTGACTTCACTTACTCAGCCACAAAATAAAAATATATGTAACATGTATCTCATTAGGTGCTAGGGATAAATAAATGTGTTAATAAGGGAATGAATGTACGCCATTGTTGCAGAGGAGACATTATCTTGGTGGTGTATAAAACAGTTAAACAGGGCTGGGAATTTAGCTCAGCAGCATAAGCACCTGCCTTGTAAGTGTATGGTCGTGAGTAACAAAAAAATAAAACAAAATAAAATAGTCAAACAGGATTTGGTGGCTGTTGCTAATGTATTATGTGGAGCTTGTACCCCTGGTTTATTAAGTGGTCGCCATCTAATCTCAGCAAATACATCAGAGCTTGCACATCCCAATAAGCACAGTCTTCAAGGTAGTGCCTTTGAGGACTACCCAGTTGTTTCAGTGTTGGTGGTACTGTTTAACCTATTCCCAAGCCCTTCTTTGGGGATTCTATCAGAATCCATCATTAGGTAGAATAAGGGGTGAGGGAAGGAATCCCTTCTGGGGAGTCCTGTGGTTCCCACATTCACATTGGTAGTGATGCCAACCAGATTGAAGATCTGCTCTCTCCACATCCTGTCTGTTGCCACACAAATGAGAAGGGAATGGGAATCTTTGACATAAGTTACTTGACCAAGTTTATATAGGAGCTAGATAACAAACTCAAGTCTTGGTAAGTTCCACCCTGCCATTTATGCCATCATTTCTCAAGATATCAAGCGTTGCTATTTTCAGTTTACATTATGTTTAGAAGAAATAGGGTCTCCACATTCAGTTACTCTTAAATTAAAACTCACCTCCACGTGACCCGCACTGCTGCTGTCCATGAAATTAAATACAACATGTTTTAGCAACTCTAAACAATGATTGATCAGTAGTCTTGACCTTTGGTGTTAGAGTTGTAATAGACACACAGTCTCCTAGAAGACTTCCTGAATTTTTTTTTTTGAAGTATGAGTGTGTTTACATTTTGTGGTCAATCATAGCTCATATTTAAGAGAAACTGGTGTAACCTGAGTCTGAGACACAGTCAACAGCCATACAGGGTTGGATGGTACAAAGTACTCTTACCTGGAAAGTAACACTAAGAAAATAAAATGGCCTAGAAAGCATTTTTCACCATTTCTGAGTATTGGACGAGTAGTTTTTGATTTCTGAATTTTCTCAATTGTTTACCATGGTGTGGAGAAGGGAAATGGGGGTGAATATATAAAATTCTTATTTTTGCTTTAAATTCCATTTCAGTGACCACGACTACTGGTTTAAGAATTGTGATGTTTTTGACAAAACATTATTTGTCTCTTGGTCTTTATCGATAATGCTACAAATCAGTGCAGGGCAGCAGTTTCCTAGCTGCGCCTCCTCCTAGATGGTCCTCCCTGCCAGGAAGTACTATTAGCTCAGGAACCTGAGGTGCCATGCTCAATTAGCACATGCAATTATCATGTCCGTTCCATTCAGCTGTTTCCCTAGGCCAAATCAGGGTGCACTCATTTGATGCCAGGTTTCAGTTTCAGAGACAGTAGGGAGAGGATATAACCTAGTTTAGGGAGGTCAAAAGCTGGGGAAGAGGATTAAATGTCTTCACTTTGGTAGAGGCATTGAGAAACACCAGAGGTAGGGTAATTTTTACCTGTGTCCCTTCTCCATTTAGAGAGGCGTATTGATTCTGAGAAACATTTTATCTATAGGATGCCATTGATTTCCACAACTTTCACAAGAGTAGGTTTTAGTAATAAGGTGAACAGATAATTTGCCGATGTTTCTGTTAAAGAGCCTCAGATCCCCAAGGTTACACTAGAGAGCTAGTTTTTAGCTACCTCTGTGGTGCATTGAAGAGACGGGAACAAATTCTCACTGAGAATCAAGATCATCAGAAGCTGGGGGTAGTCAAGAAAGGAAGCATATGGGGTTTCCTCTGAAGTTCCCTGGGGCTCCTGTGTAGGAGTAGCCCTCAGGAAAACCCAAGTGTATTTGATCAGTGAGAAACCCATGTAGACTACTTTGACTCACTTGCTCAACAAACATTCACTTTGGTGAGTACCCGTGAGGTGTTGTACCAAGTCTTAGTTCTCTTAATGAATAACCTCAACCAACTCTGAAAGGAGAGTTTGCTATTGTGTGTGTTTAATAGATGGAAATGAAGATGTAGGTAGGTTTATCAAGATACTAGAACTCCAGAACCCTAAGTCTTACTGGCTACTGTCAATCTCCAGTGTGGTAGCAGATCTTCACAGCCAAGTTAGGAAGTGATGATGTACACTGAGGCAGAGAGAAAGAGGTGTGGGGATGCTTGGCTCTCAAATTCACATGTATCTAAAATCCACTCTGGATTTCATATTATGCACATGGGAAGCAGGAGAGCACTGTTTTCTGTATAGTGGACTCATCCAAGTTTAAATAAGATAATAAACAACGTATAAATAAGAGTTACTGCACTGAAAGAAGGTATCTGGAGAATAATAAAAAATATATCATTAACTGTTGAATTTTCTGAGCCATAACTATATAGTTGCATTAAAGTGAAATAAAATTTCAAAATCAATCCCTTAGTATACTGACTAGTGGCTACCACACTGGACAGCATGGTTATAAAATGTCTCTATATTGTATCAAGTTCTACTGGGAATGAAGATTATCCAGGGCTGATAATAGCGTGGAAAGGGTCCTTTAGGAGGTGGTAGGGGAGCTGCACAGACTTATTGCAGAATAATTAAAGGAAAATAAGTAGACCTTCAGAGCAATGACCACAGGACTGTCATAAACACAGCAGGCACATAAGACAACTTTTGGAGAGCTAGAGGAGTGAGGCACACAGGGTAAGGTTAGATTGCGAAAAATGTTTGAGGGATGGTTGTTGAGTTTTCTATACAATTTCTGAAGTGCCTTGGATACAGATGTCTTTATCTCTGGCTGTACTTAGGCTTACACATGAACTAATGTGCTGTTAATTATTAATTCATTGTTGGTGTTGGTATTGTGGCTGCTTTTGTTTTCTGAGTGCTCACTCAGTGCCCAACTAAAATTTACCATGTTACATGGTGCCCTGCAAGGCGGCAGAGGGGCTTGTGGCCTCAGCTGCTCCGTGGGATGACGGGGGAAGCAGGGATCAAGGCAGTGGTGCTGGAGCCATGCGTGGTCTCAACTTGCTCAGCACATTTGGCTTGTTTGGAGGAGACCAGGAGTCTTCGAGTGTGACTCTTGGGGACCAGGGACCCTCTCCAATGATAAACGGGTGCCCAGGTTTTGTGTTAATGCTGAGCAGGGAGTAGGAGTCTTGTTTGCCTCCGCCTGCCACTGTCAGCTATGTAAAACCTGTGCCAAATTATTTATCCTCTTTTGGCTTTTCCTTCCCAGCCTACCACTGTAGGAATTAGACTCAAGGCATTAAAATATACCTTCCTATTCTGAATTGTAGAGAGTTTTGGTTTCTTAACTGTTCTGGGTATTTCTCCTTGACAATCTAAGGTTTCAAAGATGTACAGATTCCCAAACTGAACAAAATTTACCCTAAACTTTTAGAAATTCCAAATGTTTTCTAATTGAGAAACACAGAAAGATGGCTTACTTTGTCAGAGAAAGTGCTGGTGTATTTCAGCATCTGTGGCGCTCACTTCCCTGAGGCAGGGCAGTCCTTCCAGTACGTGGTATCCAAAGCTCTGGTTCAGCAGAACATACCTTTCCAAGGCAAGCTGGAACAGCTGCCAGGACCACTTGTTTGTGTAAATCATGCAGACTGGGAAGCTGGGAGGGAGGTTGGGCAGTGTGAGCATTTTTAATATACACTTAGCAGAAATTAATGAAGAAGTCCAAGGCTTGGGGGCAGCCAACCTCCTCTACAGCTGTTAAATATTAATGAGGTACTTTTGCTCTTTGGGGTGAAGCATCCTGCCTGATGCACCTTTCTTAATTACTGCATCGCTAACAGGTAGCCGAGCTGAGCAGAACTGCCAAAGGTGGTTACCTTGCCCAGGCAGCAGTGAACATTTCTCCCCTTCCCAGAGCTGCTTAGAAAAGCAGCCTTCTCTCAGAGTGCCGATATTTCCTGGAGCCAGCAGAACGGTTCAACAGGTTTAACTCACAAAGAGGTCAGAGGATGTCCCCAGAATAGTGCAGACACATCACAACTTGATGGTTCCATGGATAAAAATAACACTTGGAAATAAGATATTCAGTGGAGTGCTGGTAAATATTGAACTAGTGGCTCTCGTGGAGCAAATATACACTGCTTATTGAACATATTCCTACCACAGCGAGCTTCAGGCTACCTGCATGACACCAGCGAATACAGAATGGGAAGGGATAGAAAGCAGCCCCACATTAATATGGCATTCCTGGCACACAAACACATTAGTGCACATAACCTCAGGAGCATAGGTAGCAGGGCAATATTATGATAATATGATTATTTTATATGAGCGTATGTATATATTTATATATAGTAACAATAAAATGTGACACAGCAATTAAAATTGCATTTTGAGTATTTATAAATGTATAAATATAATTTACATAAATGAAATTTTATGTATTTCAGCTTTAACAATGGCTTTGTTTGACTATCATTAATTAGCCCACAAAACCGCTTGAATTTTAATAGTCAGATCTCACGGGCTGTTGCCAGCTGGCAAACACTATCTAAGTCCATATGAACTATCTGACTGGGAGTGCTCAGTAGCTGATTAGGAAGTTTGGGGAAATATTTACTTGGCAGAAATGCTTCTTTTTCCCTTTCTTCCTTTTTCATTAAAACATGGCTGCCTCAAAGGTGATCTTAAGTTCTGCCTTTCTGTGCATCAATCTGCAGCTGCTCTCCCCTTTCTCCTGCAGTTCTCTCTTGAGCACTGGTGGGGCTCTCTGTGGGTATCACTGGAGCATCAGTGTAGACTCAGTGGCTCCCTGCAGAGCCAGACACAACATCCTGGAATAATTAGTGAGGTTGTGGAAGATCCATTTGCTCAATGAATTTCTACTCTACACCTGCAGTATCTTAGGTATATTCTTACTTTGCTGAAAAACAGGGACAAATATCTCAGCCCTTTTGTGGTTTCCACTTAATTTTCCAACTTATTATGAGTCTGAAGATTTTATGGAGACAATGAAAGTCAGCTTCATACAACTTAGACAGTAAGGAAGAATGGATAAGAAATGGCCAAACACAGGAAAGCCCAGGGAACTTCACACAGATACATAAGGAGAAGTGGAAGGAGTGGCTAGGTGTGTTCAGGTATCCGTTTGGTGGAGCAACGTGGGGTGGGGGCATACTGGGAAGATAATGTACACAGTCTCATTTGTCACTTGGCTCTGCTGAGGTAGACTGAATGGTGCTCTGCTCCCTGCTGTATTATTCTGTTCTCCAGCATGCAGTGTGTCATGTCTCTCATTACCAACCCTGTGCATCCAATGGAATTCCACAAAGTGTTGGCTCAGGGAATATGGGTGCAGGAAAGGAGTACCGAGATGGGAGAAGAAAATGCCTCCCTGAGTGCTGCATTGCCCTTAACACCCTGTGGGTCAGTATGTAAATTCTCAGATTGTGCTTCCCAGTGTGTGGGGGTCAGGAAAACTTGGATACCAAATCTGGAGGCATAGATTCTCCTAACAAGAAACTACCCTCTGGCTGATTACAGGAACAGTAAATCCCCCCCTTTTTCTGTTAATTTTAAAATGAAAAAATAGTAAAAACGACACAGAATTTCCAAACAAAATAACAGATTAACAATGATTAATATATTGTGTATTGTTATCTTTAAAGTAGTTGCTCAGATTATAAGATATAGGCATGAAAAAATGATCATGCAGTGAAAGCACGAACTGTTCTTTTTGATGAACTAATAGAGATTAGTAGTATGAGTATCTATTTTGTATGTATGTTGTCTTTTCCCTTCTTTTCTCTTTCCCTTCATCCCAGTTTTCTTTCCTTTTGAATAGTTTCTTCTGCTTTTACTTTCACAATATCTATTATGTATTTTGGATCCTATTTATTCTTTCAGTTTTTTACACTAGGGAGACAGTACAATGTTTACACATGCAAATCTGATTTGTTTTGATTATGAGTGTGGTCTCAAGTTATATGCATTTATCTATTAAAGTCTCAAGCTTATCTTCTTTAGAGCTGAGTGGTGCTCTATTGTATAAAATATCATGTCTATTTAGTTCATTCCTCAGTTGCTGGGCATTTGTTTCCAAGATTGCTACTACAAATTATGCTGCTAAAAACATAGGTGCACATATATCACTGTGGAATGATTTCAGTTCTTTTGGGGAAATGCCCAGAAGCAGGATAGCTAGGTCAAATGGAACCTCTAGTGGTAGTTTTTTGAGGGATCTCCACACTGATTTCCATAGTGGTGAGACTCTCCACTCTCACCAATAGTGGAGAAGAATTCCTTTTCCCCATATCCTCTCTGGCATTTGTTGTTGGCTGATTTCTTGATGATAGCTATTCTTTCTGGAGTGAGATGGAATCTCAGTGTTGTTTTAATCTGCATTTCCCAAATTACCAGTGATGTTGAACATTTCTTCATATATTCATTTGCCATTTGTATTTCATCTGAGAAGTATGTATTCATCTCAGATGCCCACTTTTGAATTGAGTCTTTAATTTGGGGGATCTATTTTTTTTTTAATTCTTTGTATGTTCCAGATTTCTGAGGGACAGTTAGTTAAAATTGTTTCCTGTTCTGTGGATTGTCTTTTCACTCTGTTAGTGATTTATTTTGATATGCAAAAACTTTTTAATAAGATGAGATCCCAGTTGTTGATTCTTTGAAGTACTTCTTAATTTGGTTTTTGTTCATGAACTCTCTGCCTACCCCTGTGTCTTCAAGATTTTTGCCTATTTTGTCCTCTAATAGATTTAGTGTTTCTGGTTTTTTTTTTTTTTTTTTTCTTTTTGGGGGGGTGTCTCCTTTTTTTTTTTTTTTTTTTTTTTTTGTACCCAGGATCAAACTCACAATCTCGCATGCCAGGCAGGAACTTGTGCTGCTGAGCTAAATCCCTGACCCTTAGTGTTTCTGTTTTAGTAGTTAGATCTTTGATACATTTTGACTTTAGTGCACAGTGATAAACATGGATCTATTTTTAGTCTTCAGCATGTAGAAAGCCAGTTTTTCCAGCACCATTTCTAAAAGAGACTTTCTTTCAGTGGACATGTTTGTCCCCTTTGTCAAAATTAAGGTGGCTGAGTGTCTCTGTAGTGTGTGTGCCTCTTGTAATCTATTCTAGTGATCCTTAGGTCTATTATTTTGCCAGTGCCATGCTGATTTTATCATAGTAGCCTTATAGTATAATTTCAGGTCAGGCATTGTGATGCCTCCTTGTTTTTCCTTTGTTGCCCAGGATTACTTTGCTACTCTAGGTCCCTTCTATTTCCAAATGAATTTTAAGAATGTTTTCTCTAGATCTGTGAGGTATTCTAATGTCATTTTGATTGGGATTGCATTAAGTCTATATAACAGTTTTGGAAGAATGGCCTTTTTACAATTTTGGTTCTTCTAATGGAAAGAGATATCATTTTCTTTATGTCCTCTTCAATTTCCTTTTTTGAAGTAGTATAATTTTCAGTTTATAGATCTTTTATATCCTTTGTTAGGTTGATTCCTATTTCAGTTTTTGCATATTATTGTGAAGAGTACCTTTTTCCTAATTTCTCTCTCAATGAGTTTGTTTTTGTGTTTTCCTAATTTCTTTCTCAATGAGTTTGTTTTTGTGTACAATGTTTTTTGAGTGTTGACTCTGTATCCAACTATACTGCTGAATTTGCTTGTTAATTCTAGTAGTCTTTTGGTGGAGTTTTTAGGGTCTTCTATGTTGAGTATCTTGTCACATACAAATAATGATAACTTGACTTCTTCCTTTCCTATCCATACTCTTTTTATTTCTCTCTCTTATCTAACTGTTCTAGCTAATGTTTCCAGAACTATATGGAATAGGAGTGGAGAGAGTGGACATCTTGTTTTGTTCCTGATTTTAGAGTAAAAGCTTTCAGTTTTAGGAACAGTAAACTCATTTACCTGCCTGTACTCTGACGCATACGGTACCTGGGAACTTCAGGGAACTCCACAAAGTAGAGAGACCTCCTTGTGCCTACAGATCCTGCCCTGGTTTTTCACTCATTTTATACATAGGAGAAAAAAAGGAAGGAAACATACCTCACTTTCTCCATTTTATTGTAGGTGAAATTTTACAGACCCATAGAAAAACACTATAGTGTTATTTTTTGGGAAAGATGGTTCTTGTTATAACTAATCAGTAGAAATTTGGATAACTGTGTATGTATTTAAATATACATTTGTATTTGATGAAGAACAAATTTTGAGGAAAAAAATCAAAGCGAAATATCCAAAATACATTTTAGAAGTGCACATATTAAGTCACAATATAGAAGGGTATCTTGACCTTTAAAGTCATCCTCTTGATTGTTATCTACTTATTTCATTAATTATACTGTGACCAAAAATATGCTTTTAAGATTATAGTGGCCTTCCAGCCCCAACTCAAATATAGAACCTGTAATCATATTTAAATACCTACTTATACAGCCTAGAATTTCTGTTTGATAATCCACTTCTTTTTCCCCCTAGACTAGACTTCAAGTAACTTGGGACTATTTGTAAATCTGATAATGCCTTTCCAAAGTGTGAACATCTCTCCTCACTGGGGTTAGGTAATACAATGTTGTGGCTTTCAGGTAGCACTAGGCTATGCATAGGTCTGTGTGAGTGTGTGTGTGTGTGTGTGTGTGTGTGTGTGTGTGTGTGTGTGTGTGTGAGTGTTTCACCATTTATAAATACATGTCATTCTGCAATACTTCTTTTCCTAACAGTGACTATGGCTATGAGAGACATGGGGAGAGCCAGTGTGTCCCTGCTTTCTGGTATAATCCCGCATCCCCCTCGAAGGACTGCAGTCTTGGGCAAAGTTACCTGAACAGCACTGGGTAAGTGACACATGAAGTAAATTAACTCATTATTTTCTCACTTCCTTGCAATCAGAGGAAATACCTTGCTCCTCAAGCTACTGGAGTGTAAATAGAGTTTGTTTGCAATGAGTAGCTTCAGAAGAAAACTGAAGTGCTTACTGAGAGTACCTTTACTGAAAGGCATCAGAAGAGATTTCTGATGGCCCAGAGTTCAATGTGTTTTGCCATTTACTTTTGGCAGACGCTATTGTCTGGTAAAACTTCTGTCCCAGAAAGGTATGTTGCCTTTATTCCCTGGCCCCCGAGTGAAGAAACTGGTAAAAGATGGATAAGCATGCACTCATGCTCAAAACTTGTAATGAAAATTCAGAAGTCTGATCCTGAGGAATTTCTGGAATAAAAAGGTCAAGGCATATTTTTCAGTAATTCTCCAACTCCACATCTTTCTCACTCTTTGTTTGCTAGTTAGTGACCTGTCAGACACTTGAAAAGTTCCCTTAGAGGTGTACTGTATAGCCTTTTGCTTTGATGCCTCTTTGACCCAGAAGACATTTGTCAAGTGGCTGGGTGGACTAAAACAGCACTTTTCAAATTCTGGTGTGCTCATATATCATCTGAGGGTCTTTCTGGAATGCAGCTGCAGATTGGGGAAATCTGGAGTGAGACTGAGAGTTATAATGTTCTGAATGATGATGATATTGTTTGTCTTTAGACCACTCTGTGAGGGTCGTGGGACTAAGATATTCTGGACTTCTGTGTCACCTCTTCCAAAGATGTTCCATCATCCTACCAGAGCTTCTCACCTTCTTTTACTTTCATTTTATCTGGTGTAAGAAGGTGGTATATCCTAGCTGACATTTACAGAGCAAAAATAAGCATAATGAAAAAGGTGTATTGAGAGTTCTGAGGTGCTATGTAAGACACGATATTTATAGTCAAATATTTGATTCTGGGAAGGCTATTTCTGGAGTCCAGACTGAAGTTTTAGGACCTCTGATATTGTGTTACTGGTTTAGGAATGTAAGCTAGTCAAGTGGTAAATCCAGCAGCTTCAAATTAAGGAGATAGAATGTTACAGAAAAGGGGCTAAAATATTTTAGGAAGAGGGGTATAGTGGTCACAAGGAGTCACCTGGACCACTCAGTTCCTAATTATTACATGCCTTGGGCATCACTGAAAAAGCATTGCATTAGGATATCTCATATAATCATGGGGCATATTTAATGGGACTCAGTTTTAAGCAATTCAGGTAAAGCAAAGCAACAAGTAGCTAGCCAAACAAATCAGGGATGTGAAAAACAAAGTCAATTGACATTTTCCTTTTCAAACAATTCCCTGTAGATCTCTACAAATACTTCCAAGTTTCTTAAATGTTGAATTGTATTAGAAATCCTCAGCCAACTTGAGTTTTTAACTAGTGGAAGTTAAAGAGAAAGAGTAGATATTAAGTTTGCACTGGGGCATGATACTCACCAAAATAATCTGTCATGAGTAAAATATAAATATGAGGAGAGTAGATATGGGCAAGAAGGTATAAGAAAAATTGATTATCTAAACCAGTGATGAACAAAAGAAATATGAGGAACAAACATAATTTAAAATTTTCTAGTGGTCACATTTTAAAAGTTTTAAAAGTTGAGCTTAATTGTAATAATATATTTTGTTTAACCAGCTATAACAGAGACTATCAGTTTAACATTCTATATACCATGTTAAACTTATTTCAAGTGCTAAGGTCCCATGCATGAAAAGCAGCTACCATAGAAGGCAGCACTATTCGAGTTATGAACTCAGCTGACAACTAACATGTGGACCAATAACTCCCTCAACATCTGCTTCACGTCTTTCTGAGATCTCTGCAAGAAGGTTTAGGGTAGCTGGTAAAGCAGTGGAGACATGGGGAATTGTCAGGTGTAATGAAGGACCAGTGCCACCCAAGAAGATTTGGAGTTTCTCTGGTTTTGGGGCCACCAGAAGAAGTCAGCATGATTGAGCCAGTTTAATATCCCTGACATGCAAGATGAAAGAGACAAGATCTGGTGGTGAGAAGGACAGTGGGCATCGTGGTGTGTGGTACAAGTAGTTGTAGTGGCGGTACTTTATTTTATGTGATTTATAAAATATTAATTTTAGAGAAGGTTTGGAGTTTATGATATACCTAGAAGTACTGTCTGTGTATAAGTCAGATCTCTAGGCCAGCATGGAGAGTGATACATCATCACTGTGGTCATGACACCTCTGCTGTGGACAGGCACATGGCTTCGTAGGGTCATTTTCCCAGACCAACCTCATTGGCAAAGTAATTTTACATGGAAATGGAGTTTCAGACGTTTGCTTCTTACCCTACCTTGTGTTGGGTAGGGCATGAATATTGCAGAGGGAGCAAATGTGTTGTAAGATAGCCTGGGAGCTCCAGAGTCAGGGCTGTTGGGTGTTAAGGGAAAGAACGGCATCCAGAAGTGCAGAGGAGACAGGAAGCACCCACCTGATGCATTCAAGTAGGACACCTGATGCTCCAGAGCTTTCTGGTGCAGAGAGCTGAAGATGCCCTTGGGAAAATGGCACGGGCCCCAGCCTACTGGAGAGAGATCTGTGGCCTTTGCCTGCTTCCCCAGCTCGGCAGTCTGCCACCTCTTCTGTTGAGTATGAGTCAGAAATTGATTTTTCTTGGCTGGTTTAGACACTGATGCGATCCATGGCTCACCAAGTAGGATCAATAATGATGTTTAAGGAGCTGCTTCTCCTGAGGCAGAAGGATAGCAGGTTCCTCAGCATTTGTCTTCATAAATGGCTTTTTTGAGACTCAGTTTTTGGGGCAGGTACAAGAAACATTTCTCTTGTGTTTGCTTTCATGCACTCTCTAACATACATATGCACTCACACACACACATACACACGCGTGCACACACACACTCTAGGACACAAGCACACCACTCTCAGTTGTCAACTCTCCTCAGGTACCGGAGAATCGTGTCCAACAACTGCACAGATGGACTGAGAGACAAGTATTCTGCCAAGGCCCAGTTGTGTCCTGGAAAAGCCCCTCGGGGCCTCCACGTGGTGACAAACGATGGCCGCCTGGTGGCAGAGCAGGGACACAATGCCACCTTCATCATCCTCATGGAGGAGGTAGGTGCCCACCTTGGTCTCTGATGTCAGAAATCATGTCCAGCAGCCACTCCTCGCTCCCAGCGAAGGAAGGAAAAGGCCTTTCCTCTGCACTCCGAGCTGCTGCACAGATGTCAGCAGCAAGAATTGAACTCTCGTGAGCAAAAGCTAGATGAGTGAGAGAAGGCTCAGTGTTCAGACACCTTCCTCTTTACATCCACAAGAAGGCCCTGTTTGCAGTGGGGTCTGCTTGCTTCAGGGGCATGTAGGTCTGGATATGTTCTTCAAGGTTCCCCTTTGGGGTCTGCTGAGGAAATGTTTATCATCACAAGACCAAAAAGTGCCAGAAAAAGAAATTCAATTTACATCTGTTGCCTTTAGGAACCTCTTTTGCTTTTTCCAACTCTATTTTCCACTGATTGGACAGGCCCATGAAGCTTTTAAAGGGCCCAAAAGCATGAGTTTGAGGGGGCAGGGAGATTATGTAAATGCTTTAAATTTATCTTTGTAAAGAATGTAACATTAGCTGCTTTTACACCAGCTACCTGCTCCGTTAGCTGATTTTGTAGTGTCTTTTGCTCTCAGAGCAGTGAAATCGGACTGCAGGCTTCTACTCCACTATGGAAGTACCTGTACTGCCCAGTTCTGGCTACTTGTGGGCACTCCTTCCCTAGAGACTTTGGGCACGACTTCTGAGGCAGTGAAGCTGAAGGCTTGTCTGATTGACAAGGCTTGCTAAATTTATATGCAAATTTCCCTGTGTTCTTGATCTTAGAAAGAAAGCAAAGTGGGGCAGGGGCTTTTCCTCACAAACATGAGCACTTGAATCTTTTTAAAGTCAAGACCGTGCCACACAGGATGGTGAAGGTTCCTTCTTCCAGGCTGACAGATGCCTCAGCCTTCACCCACGCGCCAGGTGCTTGAATTTAAGTACTGTAAGAGTCAGAGGAGGTCATTATTGCATTTCCACTAGGGAGTTTTCAAAAACCTTCTCTTGAAGGGATGTGAAAAAACATGATCTTATCCATTTGAGTTGCCTTGAGTTCATTTCCACTTTAATTTATATTCATAAACTCAAGGGTGGCTGATATTGTATGGGGGTCAAAAGAGCACCTATCAATATTTCTTTCACATCTGGGTTGCCACAGGGGAAGAGATGGAAAGGAAAGCTATAGTCAGTGCATAATTACAGGGCACGAAATGTGGCTCCTAATTGCAAAACAAGGTCTTTCTCTTGTTATTCCGTCTTCCATTTTTGTATGTGAACAGAAATACCTTATTTTTCTTCCTTCAGGATCTTTGTTTTGTTGTTGGTTTCATCGCCTTCATCTAAAGTGTTGGTCGCCGCATCTGATGTACAGAAGGATGGGCTCTGTATTAGCTCTTGGGGAGCTCTGTGTCAGCTGGGGTGGCACAAGGCATTCAGCTGAGCCATTGCCATCATGAGGTCAGGCTGCAGGTGCAGGGACCTCTGAGTCAGTGGAAGCTTCAGGGAAGAAGGGGTTTAGGTAGATTTCGATGACAATAAGAGTCTAGAGATAAGAATTTGGATGTATAAAGTTTTCATCTGTAGAGCAGGAATCATCATCCTGTTGCATGTTATTATTTTGGAGGTGACATTATATAATATGTGTTGTCATTAGCTTAGTTCTTGGGACATTATAGATACTGAAAAACAAGAACAACTGTAGTGATAGCATAGTGGTGAGAACAGACAAACTGGAACTAGTCAGTCTCTGTTTAACTCTTGGGTCTCCCACCAGTCGTGATGAGACTAGTCCAGTTAATTTACTTTTTATCTCCATTTGTAAGTTGTAAATACTTCTACAAATTGTGAGAAGATTGATTGCTTGTCATGGGCAAGAAACTCTCTGCTTGTTAGCTGTTGCTGTTTTTGTTGTTATTGTTACACAGAAGAAGAGTTAAGCTGTGCCTGGAAGGATGTCAGCAGGGCCCTTGAGATCCTCTCCTCAGTGCTTACCTACTATTGCCTATGTCTTTGTCATTCAGGCTGCTCTGAGCTTTGTCATGCAGTAACAGCCTGAGGGAAATCAGATAGAAGCCTAGTGACCATGCTAGGGTGCTTCTGCCCTAGGGTTTGACTCTGTTTCCACAAAGAGTGATGCTGAAACCCAGGAGAAAGCATTAGATAGAAGTCAGGTAGGATCGTATGAATAGACCTGACATCTGCAATTCTGTCTCACAGGGTGACCTCCAGAGAACAAATATCCAGCTTGACTTCGGTGATGGGATTGCTGTGTCTTATGCTAATTTCAGCCCCATCGAGGATGGTATCAAGCATGTGTATAAGAGTGCGGGGATCTTCCAGGTGACAGCCTATGCAGAGAACAACCTTGGCTCAGACACGGCTGTCCTTTTCCTGCATGTGGTTTGTAAGTAGTAGGAGCCATTACACTTCTCTGTTCCTTATAGCTGTCAACCCCCTCTGCCTGGACTTTCTGGAATTTGAAGCTGAGAACAAGCTCACTGCAACTATGACAATGACTCAAATCAAAATATTACTCATGTGTGATTTAGTTTTGGAATATCAAAGTAGGCCAGTTATTTTCGAAGTTTGGATACAGTACTACCCTTCTTTTCAGTGCCATTTTGCACATACAGACACACATTCAGGGGAAACTCCCTTCCCTTTGCTTTGGAGAACCATGAAAATCAAAATAGAAACCCATCTGACTGATGGTCTCATGTTCATTTTCAAGCTATTATGAGTGAAGTCAGCACAAGTCAAGCTAAACGGTTACTTCTGTTGGAAGAACTGAAGAAGAATTTAAAAAACACATACTTAATTTTTTTTCCAAAGAATAACTAAACACTTAAAGCAAAAAACTAATTCCTATATCTAAGGTTACTTCAAGTTCATTATGTTGTAAACAATTCTAAGAACCCTCCAGAGTTTTTTTGAGTCTCTTTCATTGCTATTGGCTTTCTGTTGGCAGAAGCCAAAATAACAGCTGAAGTTCCAAAATATTTTGTTTTTTTTTTTAATACATTCTGTGTATTTATCTGTACTGAACTTGACTCAAATAAACTGAGGCAGCACTGTGGTCTCAGCATGGTGAGTAAAGGCAGTATTGTTACAGGACTGACATTTATTTCATAGACCTTTGTTGGTGTCATCCATGGATCTAAGGACTTCACTGATTCCTTTTATTTTTGTACCAGGGATCGATCTCAGGACCTCACATTTGCCAGGCAAGTGCTTGTGCCACCAAACTAAAACTCCAGCCCCACTTCTCTGATTCCACCCATATGGATGAGGGAGATGTTCCCAGATCCCCAACAAATGCCTGGACTACAGATGGGTGCCAGATGCTACAGAGATTACCTACTTTCTGATAATAATGGGAGGTAGCCTATACTTGCTGGGTTCCCTGGACAAAATGATGATTCAAGCCCTGGGCAGGAAGGCTCACTCCTCACAAACATCATGCAATTTAAAACTTGTCATTATTATTTGTGGCTTTTTCCATTTAACAGTCAGAATGTGGTTGACTGTGGGCAACTGAAACTTCAGATGAGGAGGGACCAGCATATCTCACACTGGATTTCAGCTTTGCCACATGTCAGTACAATTCAATGTTATGAAAGAATTGACGTGAATGTTAGGAGTGCCTTTCTTATTAACAACGTAGCAATGGTGCAAATTCCTCTGTAACTGACACTTCCGGGGTCTCTGGCAAACATTAGGATACACAGCCCCTTAGTACAGGAGCAGCACTGATTAGAAGTGTTTGGGAGTGTTGCAGGGAACAGGCCAAATGCGGGAAGAAATGGAAACAGAGCTTTAGCAGGCAATTTATTACACTGATGGGCTTCTGAGTAGGATGTCTTCCAAAAAGCCAGAGCCCTGTTTGGGAAAATGATGGGAAGTACAAAGGCAGATTTGGCGCATATGAATGGAGGATTGAGTAGCATCATGAGTTGCTGAAGCTGTTTAAACATTTCAGGCCACACCCTAAGGCTGTAGGTTATACAGAGCATGGGTTATACAAGGTAAGGAATGTTCCATTCCATTGTAAGCTGCATTGCAAGGCCATCAGTTACACAAGAGCAGCAAGGATATGGGTTTATACCAAGAAAGAAGTGTTCTGTCCAGGCCTGCAAGATAAGTCTGCTTGGTCTTGGCAGGCATTCTGGGTAGGCTTTTATTTAAAATTTTATTTTCCTCCTTTCAGAGGAGACCTAGATTACAGATCAGTTATGTCTCCAATAATGTCAGTCCATGTGACTTGAGACAAATCACTTCTTTCTAGTTTTCTAAACTCCAACTTTAAAATGGATTAATTCTGACTCCCTTTTGCCTTATGTGGATCTTCTAACAATAAAAAGAAAACACATAAAACATCCCAAAATTCACTAATTTATTCACCACGTACATGTTGACTTCCTGAGATGTGCAAAGCACTTTTCAAGAAAGCCAGAGATGACAAAGCAGACATGGTCTTGTCCATGCAAAGTTTATATTCTGCTTGGGAAAGATGTACTGTGAAAAATGGGACTTTGGCTAGGAAAAGTGGTGATAGCCACCCCACACTGATAATGATCATTCTGTGCAGAAAGCACGGGGCCAGGGGTCCAGGTGTGTGGTGTGCAAGGCATTCACAAACCCAGGCTGTACAGCAAGGAAAATCTGCATTAGAATTCTGATCACATCCCTTGGTTAAATGTCTGGTGTTGGTCAACTGTCTTAGGCTTTGTAAACCTCTAATTGCTTACCTTTGATAATTAGCTTGTAAGAATCACTTTAGGTGGTATTAAGAAGGTCCCCAAGATTGCTCCCATGTTTTGTGATTCACTAAGAGGAGGACTCAGAGAACTCAGCACATAGCTTCATCACTGGCTGTTATTTCCAGTGGGATGCAAAGCAGCCTCGGCCAAGGGCAGAGGTTCAGGAAGCAGAGACTCCAGCAAGCGAGGCATGAGCTCCATGGGTGCTTCCCCTTGGAGTCACCCAAGACAGCCAGTTTCTCTAGCAATGAATGGTACCAACAGCCAGCTGGTTGCCAGCAGAACTCATTAGAGACTCAGCACCCATACTTTTTATTGGGGATACCTGCATAAGCACCTCTACTTGGCATATACCAAATCTCCAAACTTTCCATGAGAAGCAAGTGTTCAGATCAAATCATACTGTTGCCAACACAGTTTGGCAGAACTAACCATTCTTCCCAGTTAACCATGGATTGGAAACACTCCAAGTTTCCAAACACCAGCCCAGGCCAGCCTTGGGCACAGTCCTGTTTGAAGGACCACCATTTCAGTCTTGGGAAATGTTTCTATCCTGCGTTGTGTGCAGATTGCTGGAGCATGATGAATGTTACCTGGCATTACCGTAATTACTTCCCATTAACTCTCTGCCTGACACTTCTGCTGCATTTAAAAACAAAGGCTGAAGGAAGAAGAAATTCACACCACTCCTTTTGGGACAAACCCTGGTCCTGAGTCTCCACAAGGCGGTCCTGCTTTCAAGTGGGAAGACCTGCATGACTCAGTGCGAACACTCAGCATCGAGGCACAACACGCTGTGGGTTTTGTGCTTGGAGGAAGAAATGTTCCTTGAAACTTTTATCGTGCTCATAATTCCCTCCAAATCAATCATGGCTGCATTTACCAGACAGTTATTACAGTGCAAACTGCTCTTGGCCTCACCTTGGGCCATTAGCTAACAAAAGTAGTTGTTAGCCGCCCATAATAAGCAATCTCACACAGATTAGTAGATTTTCATCAAAAGAGGGACATCTAGCCAGGAGATTTCAGGAGTTTGCTGTATTCCCTCCGGACTTTCTTTGGCTCTTTTCTCATTCATCCATAGTCTGCCTCCACACTGAAGCCTGAAGCTTCTGGCTCAGAGTCCTTTCCTTAAAATGCTGCTACATGATGCTCTTCCTTAAGATTAAATTTAACCAAACATGCTTGACCTGAAGCCAGAAGAAATGTGAGTGTGTTCAATGGTGTTCTAATTTCCAGAAGCTCCATCCTGTTCACGTCCAGTGTGAATTTAGGGAAAAGAGCTCCTTTCATTGGGGAGTACCTTGTGAGTACCTTCTGGGGTCAGTCCTGCCTGAGCCAAGGTCCCCAACATGGCACAGACCTGAGAAGATTTCCAAGGACAAGCCACAGTCCAACCTTGCTGAGCAGTGGGAAAGCCCAGACACCACATGTCTGGAAAGAGGTTTCATCCCTCTGAAAAAGAACAGTGGAAATAAAATCAAGGCTTCCAAGTGCAAAAGAAACCTTTTTCTCAATGGGAGAGGAAGGAGAAATTTGAACCTGCATGCAAAGAAAGATTCTGCAGTGTGAATATGGGAAGGCAGGCTTTTCTTCACACCTCCTGGGCACCTGAAGACCCCTTCTCTCAGCCTTTTCCTCTTCCTCATTTATCCACAGAACAATCAGTAGAGATTTAATCAGTTAAACTCCTAAAAATGAGTAAATAAAGCAACTGATGTAGCCAATATCTTTTCATTCTTCGTATCCTTTACTGACATCAAACACACTATACAAAAATGAATACATTTGCTTGTTTGACATAATTAGACCTTCAGCCAAATGTGCGTACATGGTAACATGATTGAAATTATTTTCTGGAAAAAAAATCCTGAGGTGCCGTATGTCAAGAGTCAGGGCCAAGGGCTGCAGCAGAAAGTGTAGATTCTTCCTTAATTTTTTAGCTGACAAAAATTGTAGAAATTTATTACGTACAACAAGTTACCATGAAATATATATGCATGCAAAATGGTTCAGTCAGGCTAATTGTCATGTACTTGTTACCTCTCATGCTTATTTTTTGTGTTGAGAATATTGAAAAGTCTATTTTCTTAGTGATTTTTTAAAATCCTGTATACTATTATTCAGAAATCACTCATGCACAATAAATACCTCAAATGTATTCCTTTCTTCCTGTATTTTTGCATCCCTAGACTAACAGTGACCCCATCCCATGTCCCACCCTGCCATCCCAGCATCCATTCATTCTACTCTTTGCTTCTCTGACTTCAGCTGTTTTAGATTTCATAGGAGTGAGAAGATGAGGTGTTTGGCCTTCCATGCCTGGTTTATTTCACTTAGTAATGTCCTACAGGTTCATTCATGCTGCTACATGTCAGAGTTGAAAAAATAACAAACACATCCAACCCCCAAATGCAACACTGGTACATCCATAATTTCTCATGAGTATTTTCCTCTTCTCCATTTATTCTAGAAATGAGTAACATCCTCACTTGTTATGCCTAGGGTATCTTCAAATGTATCTTTTACATGCTAGTGTGGAACTCAATGATATTTGCAGCAGTTTTCCCAGGAAAAAAGTGAGAAATGCAGGATTTTTGGTTGTTTCAGAACTGGCATTTGTATCTCATTTCATTAGGGAGATACACTCTTCTTTCTTTGTTAAATTAAAGGGGCAGGGGTTGCCAGTTTCTGAAGGACACCCGCTGTGTCCTGCAGATGATGGCACAATGGCCAGTGATGGAAGAGAATGGAAACCAGTTAACCACTGAGGATAATGGAATAGCCCTCCTTACCATGCAGTGACCCCAAATCACAATCCATAGTCTCACCAAGAAGATAGACAGCTGTTCATCTTCCTGTTTATTGGCTATGAGTCTGATAAACTAGGCTTTTCTTGGATTCAAGGTTTCTAAGAGTTTCTGGTGGTTGGGCTTCATAAGGTGTAAATTAAGTTCAGATACTGCTCTTGAAATCTAAAACTGGAGTTATGTTCCCTGTTGTACCACTGAGGCAGATGCCTCATTGAGCCATACACGTACTTCCCAACATTCGTAGATTTGTGATCATTGCTTTTATTACAGGGCATGATAGTCAGGAGTGAGGCTGAGAAGGTAGGAGCGTGCTATGCTGTGATCATTTATCCTAGAAATATAACACTGTATTTTGGTCTCTTCCTTTAGGTCCTGTGGAGCATGTCCACCTCCGAGTGCCATTTGTTGCCATAAGAAATAAAGAGGTCAACATCAGTGCAGTGGTGTGGCCGAGTCAGCTGGGAACCCTCACCTACTTCTGGTGGTTTGGCAATAGTACAAAGGTTCGGTTCTTTCTGATTAGTATTGAGTTAAACCTATACTAACTGCTTTTGTGTCACAGCTTCTGCGTTAGTGTTGGGCACACGGGAAAGCAAAGAATCTACAGAACTGAGTAAAACCTCCATCTCCACACTGAGTTCATTGTGTTAATAGGGGAAAAATAAAGACTTTTAAAGAACAAAGAGTAAGGCGAGAAGCTATGCAAACCTATCTGTTTGTGTAGTTGGTCTAACGAATATTTCTAAGATTTCATTTGTTTCATTTTGTTTTAACACACGCTTTTCCCTCACTGCCTATTTAAATCTCAGAGAAGTGACTCAGAATCTGTGACATTAGGTGATCTCATTGTGTCAATGTAAACTATAGAGGTTAATATGCAGTAATGAAAGGTAAGGGGGTAAGACGTACAAAATGCCCTCAACTGCACCTACTGTGTGTTCTGTAAAACTTTGCATTCTTCTTAGGTGAGTCACTGAGGCTGTCTCGGCTCAGAGGAAGAAACTCAAGAATCTAGGCACTTCCTGGTTACTCTCTGTTCCTGCACCTATTGAGAGTGATGCCTGTGTTGAGAATGACCAGGACCATAAGCCTGGGAGCAATCAGACTAAGGATTCCTCAATTAATTTTCTTAATGTCCTTCTTCATTCCTGTTTGTTTTAAATTAAGTTTTTTAAAATATGTCAGCTTCACAGCAGAGTTAAGCAGAATCCCCAGACACTCCCCATCTATCCTGTGTACCCATGCTTCCGAAGCCTCCCTCATTACCAACATCTGTGCAGAGTTTTCCATTTGTCATAGTATAGTCCATGACCCTACCTCAGCACATCCCCATAACACAGAATACAGAATTGACATTAGGGTTCATTCTAAGTGTTGTGAATTCTAAGGGTTAGAACAGGCGTAGGACCCGTATCGACCATTATAGTGCAAAACAGAACACTCTACCTGCCCTTCGAACCTCCATGCTCCACTTACTCATGTGTCTCTCCTTCCTAGTCCCTGTCAGTCCCTAGTATTTCACTTCATCTGTAGGTTTTTGTTTTCATCCAGTTAGAATCATACAGTAGGTAACTTTAGAATTGTGGGTTTTTTCCACTTACTAATAAACACATCCCCTCAAGGTCTTTTTATTGTTTGCTAGTTCATTTCTGTTTAATGCAGAATAACTTCCATCTTCTGGAAGCAACATGGTTTGTTTACTCCTTAAGTTACTAAACGACATCTTGTCTTCAGATTTTGACAATTGTGAACAAAGTTGCTATAAACATTCATATGCAAGATTTTTTTAGACTTAAGTTTTCAACTCTTTTGGATAAATACCAAAAATATGATTGCTGGAATGTACCATAGCACGTTTGATTTCATAAGACCCAATTAAAGCGTCTTCCAAAATGCTTGGACCATTTTGTAGTCCCACCAAGCATGAGCAGGTATTCCTTTTGGTCCACATCCTCATGGGTATTTGGACTTGCTGCATGCTGGATTTTGGTCATTTTCACAGGCATGCAGTAGTGTTTGTCTGTGTAGTATTTCCCAGGTGAGACAGCCTTCAGAGAACATGGCATATGCTTTTTGGCCATGTGTACATCATCTTTGGTGAACTGTCCATTAAGATCTCTTACCCACTTAAAAAACATTATGTTGTTCCATTTCTTTCAGTTGAGGTTTTAGGAGTTCTTTATATATTTTTAACAACAATTCTGCTATGTCATTTGCAAATGTTTTCTCCCAGTCCATGACTTGTCCTTTCATTCTCTTGACAGGGTATTTTGGAGAGCAGAATTTTTAATTATCAACACATCCATTCTTTCTTTCATAGTTTAAGATTTTGGTGTTACAACTACAACGTCAGGCCCATATCTGGGTTTTCTCTAATGCCATCCATTTTATAGATATGTTTTTTTTTACATTTAAAGTTATGATCCATTTTACTCCATTTTTGACAGATGTAAGGTCTGTACCTATATTAATCTTCTTGTGGATGTGGTCCAGATATTCCAGTACCATTTGGTGGAAGAAGAATCTTGGTATGCTTTTTTTCTTTGTGTTCTTTTCTCAAAGATAACCTGGATCTATTTCTGACTGTCTTTCTTTTCTACTGACTTAATTGTCTTTTGTTTTACCAATATCACACTGTCTTGATTACATAGATTTCTAATATGTCTTAAAGTTAGGTAGAACTGGTCATTGAGCTTTGATCTCTGTTAGTAAATAGGTCATTTGCTTCTCAATATAAACTTAGAATAAATTAGTTCATATCTGTAAAATGACTTAGTTTTTTTATTAGGGGTTGTATTGAATCCACAGATCAAATTGGTAAGATATGCTATCTAGACAGAGTTTTTTGATCCATGTATATGGAACATCTTGCCATTTATTCACTTATTCTCTGATTCCTTTCAACATGGTTTTGTAATTTCTTATATGTACCTAGATCTTGCCTGTATTTTGCTGTATTTATACCTATACATTTTACTGTTAGTGGTATAGATGTAAATGGTGCTGTGATTTTAATTCATATTCCATTAGTTCATTATTAGAATGTAGGAAGATAATCAAATCGTGTGTATATGTGTATGTGTGTGTGTATGTGTGTGTGTGTGTGTGTGTGTGTGTGTGTGTGTGTGTTTAACTGAGAATAAAATTCAGGATCTGGCACTTGCCACGCAAGTGCTGCACCACAGAGCTAAATCCCTGGCCCTTACTTTGTATATTGACTATGTATGCTGAAATCATGTCATAATCATTTATTGGTCCCAGTAGATTATTTGTCCTTAATGCTTTTGGATTTTATATTGAGCTGTGGCATCACTTTTTCTTGAACCATTTGTTGAATTCAATAATAAAACCATCTGGGCCAACTGCTTTCCCTTTTGCAAAATAATTACTGATTAAATTTGTTTAAAGATACAACCCTATTTGGATTTGGTGTTTCTCTCATGTGAGTTGCAGCAGCTTGTCTCTCTCAGGGACTCAGTCCATTTTGTATAGGCTATAAAATGTGTAAGCGCAGAAATATGCCTTGAATTCCTCTGTGTTCCTTTTGATTTCTATGGGAGTGGTCGTGACATCTTTTCATTTATTTGAAATGCTAGTAATTCATGTCCTCTGTCTTTTTTTCTTAGCCTGGTTAGAGCTTTATCAATTTTATTTATCTTTTCAAAGATCTAACTTTAAGTTTCATTGATTTTCTTTATTGATTTCCTGGTTACAGTTTCATTGATTTCTGTTCTATTTTTTTTCCTGATTACTTTGTATTTGATTTGTTCTTCTGTAGCTATCTAAAGTGGAAGCTTCAGTGGCTGATTTTATAAAGTACGTGTTCAATGCTGTAAACTTTCCTCCAGTAAGTGCTTTTGCTGCATCCTACACATTTTTATAGGTTATATTTTTAGTTTTATTGTTCAAAACCTTTTTAATTCCATTTGAGACTTCTTTGAATCTTGTGTTTTTTAGCAGTATGTTGTGCAGGGTTCACATAGTTGCTGATTTTTTGGTTATCTTTCTGTTACTGATTTACAGTTTAGTTTGATTAGAATCTGACTATATGACTACATTATATCACTACAGTCCTTTTAGATCTGTAAAAGTGTGCTTTCGTGTCCTAGCACATGGGTTTGCTTGGGGAATGTCCTTGTGGGCTTGAGAAGAGTTTATTTTGCTGTTTTGTAATGAACTAGTTGATTGATGTCAATCATATACCATTGATTAATGGGTTGTGAAGTTCCAGGATTTCATACTGATTTTTCTCTCTTTTAACCATTTAAGTTATGTTTAAAACATACTTGAGTTATTAGTGACTGTCTAGAACTTCCATATATATTCACAACTAATCTAAGCCCATTTTAAATAACGTCACTTGACTCCTTGGTTAGTGTGAGTGGTTAATAATACCAAAATAATCATATTTTTCCCTCCCATCTCTTATATATCTACAGCATACATAAGGTCTGTGCTAAAGCTCACATAAGAAAATACATGTTGGTAATATGATCTTGAATAAATTTATCAACTAGGTCAATTAAAAATAAGAAAAAATATTTTTAAAAATTTTAGTTTCACCATGCAATATTTAAGCTTATATGTCTAACTTTTTGTTATGAAATTTTGTTTTTTCCATAAAAATAAGAGTGCTTTTTTATATTTTTCTCTATTAATATCTGCTGTATTACATTAAAATATAAAAATATAAAAGAAACCCTTTCTTTTATTCTTTCCTTAATTATCTATTTTCTTTATGTAGTTCAGAGTTTGTGATCTACATTATTTTCCCCTTCTCTAAAATACCTTGCAACACAGATGGGCTCACCACAAATTCCAACAATTTTTGTTTGTCTTAAGAAAATCTTCTTTTCTTCACTTTTGAATAATAAATTTGTAGGACAATGATTAATAATTTACTGGGTCTTTTCTCTAAGAAAATAATTGGTGTTTATTTTCCCCTCAGTGTTAAATATCATTCCATTTTCTTTTTAACTTATGGTTTCTGCAGAGAAGTTGGATGTATTCTTACCTTTTATACATGGACAATGTTTGTTTCCTCTGACCCTTTTGGTACTTTTGACTTCTCTTTCATTTCCTGCAATTTGGAAATGATGCGCCCACAAGTTGAGATTTCAGCATGTGTCCTGGTTAGTGTTCACAGAACTTGTGTGTCTTTAGTTTGTGACTTTACCCCGGGGCAGTCCTCAGGCATCAGTTTCCATATTTCTCCAGCCCTTTCCTCTCTTCCCAACTGGGTATTCACATTACATGTACTATAACTTTTGTAGTTATCACACATCCTTGGATAGCCTGCTCTGGTTTCTCCTGCGTCTTTTCATTCTTCCCTTTCTTCTCAGCTAGGAGACTCCTATTAAGATAAGCTATATCCTGTCAACTAACAAGGAAGACATGATTTCTATTTTACTAATTGGACCCTTTAGTGTATGAATAATAGTTGCTTTAAACTCCTGTTCTCATCTTCTCAGCATCCCTGTCATACTTGTGCCTGGTACTTGCT